CTGTGGGAATGCGCGGCCTCTGAGGGATATTGCAGAAGCAGCACCTCTTGAGTTCTAGCCCTCGTCATCATCTTCGGTTCTTATTTTGCAGCACCTAAAATGTTACCAAGGGAATTGCGTTTCACTTGTATTCCAAAGCGCAATTACAGGACTTGGCAAAAAGCCAAGAGAGCCGCGCGCGACACGCGCCGCGCGGACGGCTGTTAGCATAAAGGAGTTTGCGCCGCAAGTTGCATTTTGGGCGGTGTAGCAAGGAATTAGACTTTCCCACGGCCCCGTACTCTGACCCCGTGCAGTTTTGGGCGGGGGGACCACGACACATCGACAGCTGGGGGGCTGATAGTCTCATACACCCTCAATGTGTTTGAGCGTACCATGTGTCTTTAACCGCCCCGACAGGTAGAAGGTTTGGTTGGCTCGGGCTGAGGCCGATCGTGATATGGCACGCGGAGCGTTCACGTAGGAAGCATAGCTACACCACGTTAGTTCTCAATAAGAGGAGGAGGGTTTGCAGGGTTTTGTAGGATGAACAGCTTCAGCACCGTGCATACACTGCAATCACTTCAGCGTTTATAGTGGTAGTAGCACGTATAATAGCTTAGGGCGGGAAGAGTAGGTCTCACTGACACTCTCATTCGGAGTGGGGTCACTTCCCTCTTCCTCCCCCTTGGCCATCGTGTCCCCTGGTTTACGTCGGATGCGCACAATGTATTTTTATGAAAGAATATTTCTGGGAGTTTTCGCCACATATTCCATCACTGTAAAGGATGCCGATCTTTTTCCAGACAATAAGTGACAAGAAATGATGACATTCGAAAATTGAACCGGTTCTGAACACAGGACTTTCTTAGAGGTCTAGGAACAAAACAGTCAGTTATAATGGTGCCCAAAAGATCAACGTCAACTGACCTAACGAAATTGATGGTGAAACTCGAGGACAGTAGGCCTATGGTTACGATGTGATGGATAATCATTTGCCAAAAGTCGGATCGTTTCACATCGAAGAGCGAGCCAATCAGTAGCGAGTAGTAGAATGACATCTCGATCATATAATACCACCTAAATATACAAATATTCACATACAATCCTCTGACTAATCTTACAGTTGGGAGAGATTTTGTGGTGGTCCGCATACCACCTTCCCGGGGGGGGAGGACTGGAAT